TTGAAACAATGAGCGGCGCTGAGTAACCAGTATTCACTGATTATTGTTGCCCCACAGAAATGGCTAAATGTCCAGAGGTTATCTTCTAACATCAATGTCTTCACACTGGCTTGCCATGGTATCTCCCCGGGCATCGCTGCACTGCCACCTACGATCTTGTCCATGACAGCTACAGGATCATTGGATTTACATGGTTTTAGATATAATAACTGAACATGCAAACATACGTTTCCATATTTTTTCTAATTTATCAAATGATTGTTCCCAATGGAAATCAGAAGAGACATAATATTGTTATGGCCCGGAGAGAATGAAGCACCTGGGCGTAACCATGGGGTCTGGCTGGCTTACTACACTCAGAGAAAAAGCAAGACGGACATGTAACTAGATTGTGACCGGTATCATCAGAATTAGAAATTTGCGCTGGCTACTGAAGATGAGCACTCATGAGAATGCCCCGAGTGCTGTGATGTCAATTCTTGACTCAACTCACCCAAATTTAACTCAATTTATCAAATGTCTCTCAGCCGTTTACAGCACCAATGCAATTCGTTAAACTCAACTTCTTTTTCTCGTCTTGTTCTGCCTTCGAGCTTCAGCTTTGGAAGAGGCATCACACCTTTTATGTGTGCCATTTAGATTCTCATTCTTAGGACCTCGAATATATCATCTATCTATCGCTTGCATGGTAGACTTCTAGCTTTGCATCAATCATCATCATCATCATCATCATCATAAACCACTTATGCCATTAAGCGGCGTGGGAAGGAATAATTTGCGATCAAGTTCACTTTCACTGCCACTGGCTATTGTCATGCCGTGAAGGCGTAGAGTATCTTTAATGTTTGAATAAAAATATGATCTTTGTGGTGCTCTATCTGGCGATAGTCTTGGCACATCTCGCATGACACCATTTGTATGCCATTGTTCTTTTAGTTGCATTTAGGTTTTGTCGAGACGTTACATTTCAGCTGTACTTGTCTGATACAATGTTTCCACTTTTGAAGATTGATTCCGAGTCACTTCCTCAACACCCCCGTGTGGGTTCCAGGGCCCTATTAGAGGGAAAACAAGAATAGACCCACTGCCTGCCCAAAAGCATGTCGTAAGAGTCGACTAATTGGGAGCTTCCTTCCAAGTCGGTGTGCATCTGCCTGAGAGGCAAGGAAACAACAGTCTACACTCAAATGTGTCAAATCTGTCGAACGAATGCACAAGCAACACCCAGGTTCTGGATCAGGACTGCAGTCCAGAAGTGGACGAACAATCCGACGGATTTTTAAACATGTCCCTTCTGTCTGATTGCCGTAGTCCTACGTGCCGCATTGGTTTGAAGAAAGAATAGGTCAACTCGCCGCATGAGAGGCATTTGGCAGTAGTGACAAATTAGGGTTTCGTTGACTTTAGGTGTTAGGCCGAAAGGCGCAGATATGACAGCCTAGCTGTGAACAAAGGGGAGCAACTAGCACTTTCACATGGCGAGTCTTTCTGTCATTCAGGCGTGGGTGAATATTCAGCACTCCTTCATCTAAAATGGAAGCCGCCGTGATCTCGCGGCAAGACGCTCACTAACGGATCGAAAGGTCGTGGGTTCGGGTCCCGACAGGGGCCGGACCTTTTTCAAAAACGATCTCGGCTCCCAGGTCGATCCTGCCTTGGGTGGGTACTGGATACAGTCTTGGAAAGAAAAGGCGACCGGCGTGATGCTAACCACATCAAACACAGAATGCAATTTGATCTATAAAACATAGGTCTAGCCCTATATACCCGTGTTATGTTATCACAATCGACGTCGCTGAACATTGGGCAGATGGGACACCGCGGCTGATTTTTTATCGTCTTGATCTCTTTGGTAGAAATGGCATCGTTACATATGTGGGAGTCAACATATTTGAAGGTTTCAATTTGTTCTAGTTTTTAAAGAGAATTACAGTTAGGTGGCAATTAATTGCATTTAAAGGGGAAGAACTGCAACCAATTGAAAAAAAAGAAAGGCGTAAATAAATGATGTGACAAAAGGTGGATTTAAAGTCTCTTCTGATATTGTAGTAGTAATATTTGTAATAAAGGTAAAAATAAAAATAATTATTATTGTTATATCAAATAAGATATAATCATAATAAAGGCCTCGTTTCCACGCCTTTCTCCTCTAGATGTTGTCGTTTATCCTACCGTCCCCATAAGAGATGCAATTTTATCGTTATTTGTACAGCCCCACCACGACTGTAGTCGGGGGCCCTAATATAACCCAAAAGACGGGATTGCTGGAATTTGTGCCCGCTGATCATGATTCGAATCGTGGCACTTTGTGTCACCGTGTGTTCATATGTCGCTGCACGGTCCTGGTCTTGTTGAATCACATACATACATCCTCCAGATGCACGAACTGAGTCCCAGTGTAGGACATAATGTTTCATAGTTTCAAAGCCACACCCTGACTGTTGCCAAGGGCCCTTATAAAACCCATCCTGTGGATTAAATGTGGTTTCTGGAGCCATTCGAATGGTTGCACTTTTTTTTCGCTCGGTGTGATGTCCTGGTGGGGGTTGAATGTCATCATCATCCTCTAGATCAGTGGCTATGAACCTTCTTAATGCCGCGACCCTTTAATACAGTTCCCTCATGTTGTGGCGACCCCCAGAAAATTATTTTCTATCATAACTTTAATGAATTTGTATATTCTGATGGTCTTAAGCGACCCCTGTAAAGGGAGGTCCGACCTAAAAATGGTTGCGACCCGCAGTTTGAGAACCGCTTCTCTAGATGCCTAAGAAATTTAAAGAACCGCTTCTCTAGATGCTTAAGAAATTAAAAGAACCGCTTCTGTAGATGCTTAAGAAATTAAAAGAACCGTTTCTCTAGATGCTTAAGAAATTAAAAGAACCGCTTCTCTAGATGCTTAAGAAATTAAAAGAACCGCTTCTCTAGATGCTTAAGAAATTAAAATAACCGCTTCTCTAGATGCTTAAGAAATTTAAAAAACCGCTTCTCTAGATGCTTAAGAAATTAAAAGAACCGCTTCTCTAGATGCTTAAGAAATTAGAAGAACCGCTTCTCTAGATGCTTCAGAAATTAGATTTTTTTAAAATAAAAAACATCACGTCGGTCGCCCCTTTTTGGTTTAGGACTTTATTTGATACCTATTTAAGACTTTGTTGGCCTAGATGACAAAGTCATTTAGTGAAAAAATCCGACTGAGTTCGTATTTAAACCCACGACTTTCAGATTGGCAGGCGAATGTCTAACCTTTACACTGCAGTGGCTCCAAAAACGATCATGATGATAACAATACTTACTTTACTTTACTTTTTCCTTCCACGTATGCCGCTAAGCGTTGTGGGGAGATGCAAGTTCCTGTCATAAGCAAGGCGGGCAGCATCTGATGTTCTGAGGCCATGCTTTTGGCAGGTTTCGGAGACCCCGTCAATCCACAGTTTCCTTGGTCTTCCTCTTGCCTTATATCCTGAGCTTCTTTGGTTGAAAATTTGTGATGTTATTTGGTCATTTTTCATCCTGGTTAGATGTCCAAACCATTTCATTCTTTGATGTTCTATGTAGTCTAAACATGGTGTAGTTTTTGACAGTGTTTCTAATGTCTATGTTCTTTATCCTGTCTAGTCTGGTCTTATTCGCTGCTTTTCTTAGACATTTCATTTCACAGGCTTCTATTTTTCTTTCATGGGTCTTGTTGATTGTCCATGTCTGGCACTGGTAGCAGAGTGTTGGAATGAAGATGGTGTTTATCAATTGTCTTTTGGTCTTCATGGTTATATCTGGATGTTTAAGCAGAGGTGATAGTTGGTATGTGACAGCATTTGCTTTCTGTATTCTTGTTTCTATCTCTCTGTCCATTCTTCCATCCTCTGTAAATATACTGCCCAAGTATTTGAACTCTTTGGTTTGCTTGATTTTGGCACTTCCAACATTTATATTCAGTGGCCTGTGTGTTCTGCTGATCTTCATAACTTCTGTTTTTTCTGTACTGATTCTCATATTATGTTGTAAACAGCTGTTGTTGAGAGTAGTCAGATGTTCCTGTAGATCATATTCATTTTGATACAGTATGCTTTGATCATCAGCAAAAAGTAATTCGTTTATAGCATACACGTCTGGATGATAACAATAATAACAATAATAATACTTACAATCAAAAGTAACACTAACCTTTCTGAGCTGCATCATTTCCAACGCTTCTCTTAAATAATTGTTCATATTTTTTCTGGGGGAAAAAGAGAAATCACTGTGTAACTATGGATAATGGTGTGTACACTAGCGTCTTAACTGTTACATGTTAATATGAAAGAGAAGAATGAAGATTTCAGATACAGGTCAACAATAATGCACTGCATTTTTCAAAGTACGGAGTAGATGGCTCTGTGTTGAGAGGTGACGACGCTCATGAGGGTTCTTTGCAAAAGTGAAATATAGTTCCTTTTCTTATGAACACATTTGCATTCCATTGTCTCTAAAACTGCCCTTCAGATCAGAACGATTTTTTTGCTGGCAGCCTTGGAATATCCATGACGTTGAAGAAATAAATTTTTCACCAAAGAAGAATTTCAAAGGTCGTTTTTTTTTTCCTTCTTTACGATACATACTTTTATAATGATACTGTCTTGGTAAACTTTTGCAAGGTTTACTTTCATTATTTTTATGAAGTAATGCAAACAATGACTGGTTTAACAGTGGGTCCCAAAAACAAAAACAAAACTATGCAACTTCATGATTTTCTGGTGCTAAGTCGCACTCCTAATGACATGTCGCCAAAAAAAAAAAGACGTCGTTCAAGGTTGTTTAGTCAAAGGCGCATCCACAAATTAGTGTTGAGTTATCGTGTCATATACTTATAAAAGCTAATATATACATCAGTTTGAAAATTTATTCAAGATGCAAATTTAAAACTATGCAGAAGGTTAAGGTTTTACACTACCAGTACTACCTCAGTGTCTTCTATATTGTGATATCCATGACCCAGAGAAACGAACACGATTGTCGCATTGTCTAGATAGAGCACCATTTAACCATTGGAATAGACATGACACAGAATACACTCATGTAAAGCAAGGAAGGACAATGCAAGTTGACGACTTTCATGTAGATGACATTAGACATGAGATCTTAAAAATGTTAGAGAAACGCAAACTTGTTACTCTCCGAAAACTGAAATTAACAGTGCAGTGTTGACATTTCAAAAAGTAATATATGGAAAATTGTAAAAGCCATCGGGTTCACTTTCAGGAAATCTGTAGGTAGAAGGAATATTATTTGTGAAAAGCCACATTTGATTGCTATTTGAAGCACACATCTGAGGCAGATCTGAGAGCGACGGATGCAAGGCCATAAAATTGCATATTTAGATTATTCCTGGGTTAATGCTCACCATACTTATGCCAAAAAAAAAAAAAAAATGAAAAGCAGTAAACAGTGAACAGTAAAGGAACATTCCAAGCAGCAACGGACAGCGCATTATACTCACTTACGCAGGAAGCAGTGAAAAGGGCCTTATCCACGATGCTGGACTTATTTTTAAATCAAAAAAGTACGTATGGTAGGAACTACCACACTGAAACGAATGAATACATTTACAGGCACTGGATGGAAAATGATCTTCTTCCAAATCTGGGCAGACCATAGTGCATAATAATGTATTATGCAACCCATCATAATGCCGTATCAGAGGAAGACAAAGTACCAGCGACATCAAATACAAAAGATCAAATTAGGACATGACTTGCTTAGAAAAATGCAACTTTGACAACACATTTTTGAAGGCAGGGTTGTTGCAGCTTGTTTAAAAAAAAAAAAAAATAAGACCAAAGTGTATCACACAGACCAAATCAATAATGAATATGGCCACACTTCTCTGCGACTCCCTGCATATCATTCACACCTCAACCCGATAGAGCTTGTCTGGGCTAAAGTCAAAAGACAGAGCGCATATGAGAATTCCCCTAGTGCTGTGATGTCGTTGACTCAGCTCAACTCAGATCAGTTAATCATGAATGTCAACAAATACATTTACTTATCAAATCAATTTATTTTGAAGACACGCCTCTGACAAATAATAGAATTGGAAATTCAGATTTTTACTGTACAGTTAAAAAGTTCACTCCACGTTTTACAATGGTTCAAAAAGTAAAAAAAAAAAAAGTAAAGATCCCTTTTTTTCACGCCTTTCGGCGCATCGGGCATATGGGCAGAGCGTCCCATATTTTTACAGACCATCAGCACTCTGTGGGTAATGTGGTCAGCATTACGCCGGCTGTCTTTACTTTCCCAGGACAGCCCATCCTGGTACCCATTTTAGGCTGGGTCGACCTGCGACGTCCCATACCACGACAAAAATCCACGCAGCCTGAAGTGGGTTTCGATCGCGGTATGCTGGCTTACGAGTCGGACACGCAACGCCTTAGCCACGGACGCCACATGGTTCAAAAAGATCAAGGGAATTTGCTGGTATTCAATTTCGTGAGAATCTATGTACTAGAGAAAAACCACCATTTCTGCCTCCTGGATATGATAAGGCTGCATGGGAAAAAATCGTTATGATCTAACGGGCAGTTGCTTGGAAGTGTGTTCATGAGAGGCTGAGCTAACTATACAACTATAGTTGCTCCGGAACCAATAGCACAGAAATAAAGACTCAAAATCACACACACACAGACACACACACACAGACACACACACACACACGCACGCACACGCACACGCACACATACACACATGCGTGCGCACACACGCACGCACACACACACAAACACACAAACACACACACACACGCACACACGCACACACACATACGCACACGCACACACACACACACACACACGGAGAAGAGAGCTAGAGAGGGAAGTTAAAAGATGAGGGGGGCATGTGGAGAGCTGCATGTGACAGCAAAGGATAGAACGACTTGGTGTGAACTGGTTGAGGGCCTATGCTCCATTGGTGTTAGAAAGGCAGAAAAGAAGAAGATAACTTGAGCAGATTTTCTCCGTGAACATCTTGAGGGGATTCCCCCAGGCGCTCATAAACCAGCCTCGTTTCATTGTAATAGTTTTGACCATCGGGAACGAGATATCTATGTCACTGCCACAAATCTCGCTCACGTGAGCTCACCTATCCCCTCTCATTGAATTTAACCCGTGTGGGTTCCGGGGCCCCATTGTAGGGAGAAAACAAGAATAGACCCACTGCCTCCCCGAAAGCATGTCGTAAGAGTCGACTAATTGGGGAGCTTCCTTTGAAGTCGGAGTGCATCTGCCGGAGAGGCAAGGAACCAACTGTCTGTATTCAAGAGAATGAGATCTGTAAAACTGATGCACACCCAACACTCAGGTTCTGGAGCAGGACTGCAGTTCAGTATTGGACGAACAACCATAACTTTCCGCCAGAAAGTTCAGCTGGTGAACGCGAAGAAGAAGAAGAAGAATTTAACTTTAGTCACAGTGTTGGTGTTCTCAGCCATGCAAGGATGAATAATTACAAATATTTGTACTAATATGCTTTTAAACTAGTTTTTTTTTTTCTCCACTACTTTTTTCCAAAGGCATTTGTATTTGTTTCGTTTCGTAACACAACCGATATGAGGGCAATTCTAGCAGGGAATCTTAAAAAAATTCGATTTTTGAATTTCGAAAAAAAAAAAAAAACTTGGTATCAAATAAACGATTAACCAATATTCTACACGTCTCTGCATAATTTTCTTTTTATTCGGATAAGTCTTTAAGCGAGTTATAATGGCTCAAAGATGGTCAGGTCTTTCAGGTCTTAGAAGCCACACACACACACACAAAAATCAGAAATTCGTGTTTTGATAAATACACATATCTTTAGCGACAATGCGAGCCTCCCAAACACATTTCTTACAAAAAACGACACTTCAGTATGGAAGAATCAAAATGGCTGCTTTAGTAGAAGTGTGTTTGCATTCTGTATGTTCTGAAATCATTTGTATAAGTTATATTTTGAACAATGTAAAGTAATATAAAAATATTGTAAACATTCAAGGAAGCGAAAGTTTCAATGGAATAGGTTTAGGATTGCTGGAAAGAGATGCAGAGAATTAGATTTAAATCTTACTATTGAGAACGACAAACACGTAAACATTAACATTCCTACAAGTAATTATGTGGATATGCAGTGGTAATAATTTTAGTAGAACCAGTACCAATGTTGACATTCCCAGTGTCAAATCCACTCACAGTCGGTAATCGATAAAAATCAACGACCTGTATGGCATTGAGGATGATCCAGATACAGATTTAGAAGTATGTGATGACGGAAACATTTATCCCTAATGTGACAGTGAAGGGTACAAGATTGTTGACCTGGAAATTCTATGTCACCAGATTTCATAAACTCTGGTTTGTGCATTGTGCTAAAACCAAGTCAGGCTTACTGAGAATAAAAGACAAGGAGTAGGTAGTCAATTTGAATTTGTATGCAGTAACCAAAGTTGTAAAATACAGACCTTTTTTTTTCTTCATTCCAACCCTCAAATTAGTGTCAACTACAGCAACAGCTTACAAGTACACTCAGTCAACAGGCCAGCTGTTTTTGCTATGCGCTGTGCAGGAAGTGACCGTTCGGTCTTGCTAACATTTTGGGGGTTAATGCATTTTTCGCCGCCTTTCCAGAAGTGCACACATAAACTATTAAATGATAGGATAGAAAGTGTTTTGGGATGCCGACACAGAAAGCTTCAAAACAGTTTCTGATTGAAAGCCCTACAGTGATACGTCTGTTGTGAAGATAGAATGTGTTGGACACGTGCAAAAAAGAATGGGTACCCGACTACGCAAGATCAAGAATTTGGGGGGGGGGGGGGGGGGGGAGGTAAGAGAAAGAAACTGTCAGATGGAAGAATATTGGTGGAAAGAGAAGGCTTACTGACACACAGATTGATTCTTTTCAGAAATATCATGGGAACTCAGTTAGAGGTCATAAGAATCTAAACGACCTATTTTTAGTTTCATGTTAAATTTGGTTGTTTACAGAGAATGTTGGCTCGCTTGCTAAAATCTTGCGTTGCATTTATTACTCCGTTTTTACAGTAGTTTGGTTAGAGCGTTGGGCTGTATTAGTGATTTCCGTTTTAGTGCCCTTCGCTTTGGCTTCTATTCACAGATTATGTCATTCTAGTACTGTATGCCCTGAATTCCGTGTGTCTGTAGTACTTATTTTGACCCCGTGTCTCCATTTCTTAAAGGTCAAGCCGTTTAACTAGCGCTCTGGAGGTTCTTTTCACTGCTGCATTGTTCAGTTCAGTGGAACTATTATTACGGAGACCTCTGGGGATCATCGCCGGAGCTAGGATGTTCCTGCTCTGTGTGGCGTTCTTAGCAGCGGATAGACGTTCTAAGGAGAGAGGCCGAGCAATTTCAAATACAATCCGCTGCACTAACATCGATCCATTTATATTAACCTGGATACACCTATTTGGTCTCACAACACTAGGAATGCATAACAAGGCTTTCTGTTGGAGTATCGGTAGCACAATAGCTTTTCTGCAGGCATATATACAGGTTATGAATTTGAATCTAAATGAATACGACACTTTATGCTCGACATTGAGCTTCCAGGTTCTCAGCCTGAACCGGATAACAAGGAACTTCATTGGATGTAATAGAGGCTAACACGATGACCACCAAATCATATAATTAAAGGCTGAAATGTTGGAATACAGCATGTTTTGCTGTTTTTTATTTATTTATTTTTTTATGCCGAATGTGAATGTAATGTAAAACGGTCATTTGCTTCTTTCTTTCAGCATGAAAACATGCATCGTTGGCAGCTTGTTTTTTACATTACTAAAATAACCAAAGCTTACCAACGGTAGAACGCTCTTGGCCAGGACGATAGTAAACAGCAGACTCAACAGTACCAACTGCTTCATTGTCGCATGAACAGCGAACTGGCTAAACAAGACTTCAACTTGACAACTTTCAGTAGCTCTTTTCAAGTTATATTATATTTGCTTCGATTCTACAGGATCTATCTGAACCTGTTTGAGATACCCTTTTATAGTAATTCAAGACATTGTTGCCGGCAATTAAATATGTCATAAATATCAGGCATAATGACTGTTTCACAATCTACAAAGAACTACAGTACGTGAGACACTCTGTATGCAAATCGCCTACTCTTGTTGAAGTCTATGGTTTATTTCGGCAAGCTAATTACACACCTGTCAACACGTATACACCATTTCCAATTATCTATTCATGACTAGCAAATCCAATGACAATTGTCAAGACATTCACGTCTTCCTTTCTTACCCCACTTTACCAGTGCTACCCAAACTTGTTATGCCAACCACTTCATTTTTAGGGAAAACAATAACCCCGGTTATCATTTTCCATTTGATTAGCAGAACCACGGATAATGTGTGCTCTGGTGTCACTTGATGCAGTCGACCAAGCCATCAAAGTATACATCTCTTTGCTTTTTCTCTGTCCTCTTTCTATTAATTTTGCTAGTTGTCACCGAGTTCTGGCCTTTGTTAATCACATTGAAATACACCGTCTGTAAACCAAAGAATGATATTATGGTAGTTCTGCTTTGTGTCGACTCTTGTTCCGATCCTTACAACATGCAGACGGCCAACCCATCAAGATATTTATATCTTTGCTTTTAAACTATTTCACCTCAAAAGATCCTATTTCCTTCATTAGTAAAACGAGCTAATGGGCGTGTTTTCTTTCTGTCCTTTAAAAAAATGAAGATTAAGAAAGCTTCCGAAATTGATAACTAAGTGTATAGAAAGGTGATGTTTGTGTATGATCTCAAGGAACTATATTAGATTATGCTTTCTAGATTGTACATAACGTTTGACTTCACAGAACTGTACTAGATGATGCTTTCTAGATGTCAGAACACCGTGTGTCATGTTGCGGGATAGACCATAAAGATGGTGTACCGTATTCAGGGTACACCCTAGAGTTGACACAAAGGTTAACACAGTAAATGGCGTGACTGGCCAAGTATGTGCTAGTGACACCGACAGGCAATTACCGCTCAGAAGAGACCATTTGAAGATTGCAAGTAGTAGTGAAGTCTTATCCGGGCAGGTTCCTGGAATGCTTGTTTACATGACGTTTACTGAGCGGGTTGACCAGTCAAAAGTCACGAGATGGGAAGCCAGCGGGGATTCGATGTATAGATTTTGGACAGATAGGACTTTTTAGCTGGACAGGGATAGAAAATTAGAGTTGGGATAATACTTTAGTGACTGTATAGATTATTTACAGTGTAATGTCATAGTAGGATAGCCTCCTTGTGCTCTGTAGTTTAATGGTTAAAGGTGTGTTGTTTCTCAGTACGTAAGTATTGTTAATAATCCCTTTTGATCAGTTGAAACGGTTAGATGCATGTCATGTGAGTTATTATTGTCAAGCTGACCCTGCACTCGACAGAAGCTCTGACGTCTTGGTGAGCTCAGGTGACAAGGTACAAGAACGTCCCCTGCAGAGGTGTTTGTGCACCTGGGATTGCCTGTGGTAACGGACTGGAGAGCTTAGTGATTGTAAAACTCGCTCGGCCACGGTTCCAGGTAACCGGTGACTATACAACGGCAAGTAAACTGTTCATTGTAATATCTATACTTACATTAAAGATCTTCATGTGTGCTCTGTGTGCGTTCGGGTTCAGTTTGTGACAGGTTTAAATTGTCTGTCAGAGGCCCACTCACAAGCCACGGACCATCAAGGTCACCCAGAGGTCTGTGACATGTACTAGATGATGCTTTCTAGATGGTACATAATGTCTGATTTCACATAAATGTATTAGATGATGCTTTCTAGATTTTTCAAGACAGCAACATAATATATAATATATAACTGCACATTTTTGATGTCATCCATGGTTTTGTATGTGTTAGACTGCAAGACTACAATAAAAACTCCGAAAAGTTAAATAAATTTGCTATTACAGACGGTCACGTTAGATGAATACAGGTCACTGTAAAATCCGACACATCATGTGAATGAGAGAATTCTCCCGGGTTGAAACAGTAATTTTTTTTAAATATTCATCCACGGCACATTCGAACCCAAGAGCTTTGGGTTAAGAGGCGAGCTTCCTGCCACTACGCAACCAGGGATATTATATTACAAACATTCAGATAAATATTTAAAATTGTTTAACTCCAAGCTCAACAAAGTTTAAGATGAGCTCAAGTAAATATCATGTGAAATAAAAGTGGCGGCTTAGATATGTACAACGAACTGACCTGGAAAATATTTCTAGCACAATAATGCAGCAAGAATGCCTCGATAGAGATATGGCTAGACACAAGCCAGCTCCAAGATTTTGTTTTCGAACCTGCATTTGCCTGATAGTTTTAAAATTTACCTTGGCTCCCAGGTTGACCCAGACTGTTATGAGTATCTATATTGCTATTGATAGTAATGGAGATTAGCGTATTGTTAACTAGATCATTTATTAAGAGGAGAACAGTCTAGTGTGTTTTTTCTGTTGCACCATCGCCGTTCATAAGGACCTTTATTTATTTACCCTCCCATTTCGACCCAGCCTTGAGTGGTACCTGATATAGTCCTGGGAAATAAAGGCGGCCGGCGTGATGCTGACCACATCACCCCCCAAGTTCTGATTGGTCTATACAAAAGTATAGGTCTCGTCGTATATGCCTAATACGCCAGAAGGCGCTGAAAAGAGTCGTTTACTTTGCATTTCTTACTATCGCCGATCAAAAGACCTTCACTTATTTCCCCTTCCAGTTCGACCTAGTCTTTAAATGGGTACCTGATAAAGTCATGGGAAGTAAAGGCGGTCGACAAGGCTGAGCACATTACCTAGCGAATGTAATGAAATATAGGTTTTGTCTTATAGGCTAATTACTAGTAAGTAAAGTAAAAAGTAAAGATCCCTTTTCACACCTTTCGGCGCATCGGGCATATGGACATAGCGTCCCATATTTTGACAGACCATCATTACGCCGGCTGTCTTTACTTTCCCAGGACAGCCCATCCTGGTACCCATTTTAGGCTAGGTCGACCTGCGACGTCCCATACCACGACAAAAATCCACGCAGCCTGCAGTGGGTTTCGATCGCGGTATGCTAGCTTACGAGTCGGACTCGCAATGCCTTAGCCACGGACGCCGCGCTAATTACTAAATGCGTGAAAAAAGTGTCTTTTGCATTTATTTATTTACCAAAGGCCAGATGAGCAACTTTCGGGGAAAAGATTATTGATTTATAAAGTCAGTTAATGTATAACGAGTCTCACTTGGCGCTACTGTGTGGGTTGTAAACACCGACTGGCTATCAGACTGTTGTGGCTCAACAAACGCACACGACTCCAACGTGAAACATATTTTGCTTTGTGTCCGGTAAGATGGGTTCACACGGCGCATTGTTTATGTGTCATCATTATTAAACCCTCGTAAATGTGGGGTACCTACTGTTGTTTGTCTCTCATGTTGTCTACTCTACTTATAGTCTCATGTTTAGTCGACCATCACGATAATGGAAGTAGAGCAGTTAAAAATACGCCGGTATAAAAATATATTGTAAAAAGGACTGCTATTTAAAACTAATTTATTTACTTGTCTTTAGTTTTGTGTTGGAGGAAAATCAGCAGTCTGCATACGGAAAGTCGGGTCTGTAAACCTGATATGTTTGCATCACTCAAGTCATGTTACAAGATAAAAGTCTAGTGATGTTTAGTCGTCCTGGGGGAACTGTCTTGTTTTCTAATCTACATAGGTGTAGACCAGAACCCACAACCTTCGGACCGGAAGATAAGCTGGTAGCCACAGCGACATCCCATTACGGTAGATTAAGCTGCAGTGGGGAGGTAGGGGAAGGGAAAAATAGGGCATGAGAAAGACGCAACGGCAAAGAGAAGGTCGACTCGGCGTGAGTTAGTTGATTAGTTGCCATACGCCTGCTTACACACTCACACAAACACTACATGGTCTCATACGTATATATAAAAACATACACACACACACACACACACACATATATATATATATATATATATATATATATATATATATATATATATGTATGTGTGTGTGTGTGTGTGTGTACAGAAAAGTGAAAGAGAACGAGCGAACCAACGGACTTTATTTTCAAAGGGTCACAATTATGGCACGCAGGTCCATCTTATATTCGGCCCTTCCAATCACCCATCGTCGCATAGCAGTTGAATTTTACCTGTAAAGCATGTTATGATCATATGATAATATGCATTTTATGAATATCACGAAAGAACACAAAAAGCATGGGTTGTAAAATTCATGCAGAAACCTGGGCGCGCTCACACACACCACATACAATCCGTACATACACAGGCTCGTCCACTCATGTACACACACATACATGCATGCATACATACATACATAATACATTGCTTTTGTTTTTGTTGCGTATCCTGTAAAGCACGTTGCAGAACCAACCCCAGCAGCCCCTGGCTGTTGTGTGGTTTCTCTAGGCAAATTTACGTCCAGTTGTTTGCCATTGCTTTCTGGACGATCGGCTTTCTTGATACTTCTGTCGAAACCAACGCAATGCACATGGCCCGCAGCTGGGTTCGAACCCGGCACCCCGGCATTTTGAAGCGTTCGCATCGACTTAGCCACAGAGCCGACGACACATAATACATACCTACATAAAAAGTTTTTAAAAAAATGTAAAGATCCCTTTTCAAGCCATTAGGCGCATCGGGCATTTGGGAAGAGAACCCATATTTGTACAGACCAATCGGCACTAGGTAGGTAATGTGTTCAGCATTACGCCGGTCATCTTTACTTCCCCAGGACAGCCAGCCTGGTACCCGTTTTGGCTGGGCCGACCTGCGACTCCCCAAACCACGATAAAAAAACCAGGCAGCCAACAGTAGGTTTCGATCGCGGTACGTTGGAATTACG